CACCGCGCTAAGGGACAGGAATGGCGCTGGGATGGTGTTATCACAGCCCTTCCTCCTCCTCTCCTTCCTCCCGGCTTCAGGTCTTACTGCTCTCCTGGTGCGTCCCAACCCGCCAAAGCTCTTTGAAGCTTTCTCCTTGAAGGTTTGCACCTGATGTTATCACAGGTAATTAGATAATTGGTGCGCAATTCACAGGAGGCTCCCGGTTTCTTTCCCGGGGCTGTGAACTCTGAACGATGCCAACGGGGGCGTCCTCTGCTGTTTTACCGGGTTTAACTTTAGGCTGCGTTCAAACTAACGCCTAATTGGTTTTGATGTGGCTAAAGCACTTTATTGTTCTTCTAATAGTGTTTGTTCCTCGTCGTTCCCGTGCCAAGGGTAGCGCCTGCAACGTCCGCGGCTCCAGCCTGGGCAGGGATTTGACGGGAGTTTTTGTTATTCGTAAAAATCTCGGTCACTTGTGTTTGTTTTGTTGCTGTAATCACTGCTTCAGTTTATCGTTGTTCTGGAAGGACATTTACCGGGGTTTGCTCAGTGGAACTGCCTGGAAGGAATTAGTCCCAAATAGTTTTGGTGGAAAATAACAGTTTTACCTTTTTTTTTTTTTCTCCAGCTGGGGATGCCTTCAGCTGGCACTTGACTACAGCAGCCTTTAAAGCTCTCCAGGGGAGGAACAGGCACATATTTTCAGTGCACGCTTAGGGTTTTCTTATTTTTGCTACTTTTCATGTCCAAAGGTCTTCAGCAGCAACGCTGACTTTAACTGTCCCCTCAGAAAGCTGCCCGAATAAATAAAAATTAGATTGCGCCCAGTTAAACCCCACCACAACCCTGCCACGTGTGGGGGATGTCGGGGATGGATTGAACCAGCTGGTTTAGATGAAAAAGTTTTACAGGAGAGGTAGAACACTGAAGGGTATGGGCATGCGTTCAAAAATTCAAAAAATTCAAGAAGTTAAAGGGCTTAAGGTAAGGACTTGTCAAAAAAAAAAAAAAAAGAAGAAAAATTATTTTAAAGATAAATAAAGTAATGGATAATGAGCAACTCTTCCTTCCCTAGTCTTTGAAGACAACTAATGGAGTCCTGCTGGTCCCCCACGACTCCTAAAGGTCTGCAGAGAGGGCACCCGCTTCCAGGGGGCTGAGCCTGCTCGGGGGGATGATGGATTTTATATCTCATCTCTTGTGGGCAGAAGAAAAACCAGTGGAATTTCTCAGTTGGTGTTTAGTTTGTTTTTTCTGTTTTGGTGGTCTTTTTGGTGTAGAAGGGGCACAAATAAATCCCTACTTCCATGACTTTTTCCTAGCATCAGGCATCATTGTCCCTGATGTTCCCTGTGCTTCCCTGTCACTCGAGGACTGTTACATGGACTGTTTTGTCCTCCTTTGTGGATTCGCCTCTTATTTAAGTGGCCATTCGAGATACAGGTGCAGATATGGTTATTTCAGCAGCAGCCAAAATACAGCTGTGTTCAGGGTACAACAAACCAAAACACTAATGCTGGAGCTTCTGAGAGGTATTTATTCAGTCAGATCATGGTCATTATTTTTTTTTTAACTGTACTTCAGCGATCTTTCACTTGGTGTTCTGTCACGTAATACATCCAAATATAAAACAGGGCAGGTGTACAATCTTTATTCCATAGTTCAGCTTCTTAATCACAGTCCACTAGTTTACAGGCACGTGCTCTCCATAAATCCCTTAAGCATGTCTTGGAAACATTACTTTAATGCATTGGTAAGTTGGTAACAACTTCTACAGCTGTTTAATAACATCAAAGCCAACTATCTCGGACTAGTCAGCACAGAAGTGTATGTTTTCCTTTTACGGACTATAATGGATATATTACTAATTGTAGCCTATTGTATAATACTTCAAATGCACACACCTGAACATATTTTCCCCCTTTTTTTTTTTCCCCAGAGAGCTATATTTCCTACATTACAGTAACCAAAGAATTTCACCTCGATTCCCAGACAATTAGACAACTCCACTTCACCTGTTGATTGAGCCCTACTAGCCACCTGCCGGCCCACTGGCACCTTGATAGGGACTACTCAAAGTTGTCCCCAGCCCTTCTCAGCCCCTTACAAACAGCTTAGAATTGTTGAATTTCCAGGGAGTAGTTTGTCTGACTGTGGTTTAACAGCGAGCCGAGGCTGTAACCCCAGACTCTCAGAAAAGTGAGGGAAATGGCCATTTCACAGGATACCTGCGGGAGAGGGTGTTTGTTCACGGAGATGCCTGGAAAATGCCCTGACCAGCAGGAAGGCTTGGTGATCAGGAGAAACATCTCAGAGGCTCAGCAGGGACCACAAATCCTTGTTTTGCCACTTAATGCTTGGTAAATGGCACGTGTGTGTGTTTGTGTGGGGTGGAGCGCCCCAGCCAAGAGCCAGACAATGCCCAGCTACTTCGGGCTTTAGTCCCCCTTAGCTCCAGGATGGGATCTGCAGCAGCAGAAACACCTCCAGCACAGGCCAGAGAAAAGGACGGGCATTCCAGCAGAATCCCACCAATGGGGAGCCAACAGAAGGAAAGAAACACCAAAAAGGGAAAATAATAAAGAAACTAACCGAGATGGATAAAAAGAGGTGATTGCTGCAAGGAGACACCAAGGCAGAGCCAGGCTGTTCCTTTTTTAAGGTCTGTGTGCAATCCCTGAAGGGAACCACGCGTTGCCCCAACCCAGACAGAGAGTGGGCAGAGCTACTTCACACTGATCTGGGTTGACACCTCCTGGAAAACTTGCCTAAACCCTTTTCCCCTTTCAAAAAAAGCCCAAGATGCAGCAAAAATCTTAGCCCGAGGCAAACCAGTGACCATAATGTTCTGCTTCTACACACTAAAACACAACACATCCTCAGGAATGCACGTACCTTTGGTGGAAAACCCAGCCCTGGCTTGGTGTCCAGCAGGTCTTTGCTCTCATTGTTGGGCTAGTGCTTTTCACCACCAACACACGTCAGGTGATGCAGCTCTCTTAATTCTAAATTTAAGTCCTTTGCAGGAGGGGGTGGGACCAATCGCATCTCCGTTCCTGAGCATTTGTGATGGAAATAAACACACAGGCCCTGCCACAAAGAGGTACCCAAAATTATCAGTGGCTGACCTTTGCAGGTCATGCTTTCTTTGCTTCCAGAAAGAAACCCTGTTCCTGCCTCTTCCCTTTTTCCACCAGTTCCCTCCTTTCCCTTCTCCATTAAACTGCCACCCCCTTATCTCAGCATCTGGCCTTTCACCCCTGCTCAGGCTCATGACTCCTGATCTTCTTAATCTGGGATCATTACCATCAATCACCCCTCCAGCCAAGCGAAGCCTTTCCTTCACAGGGGGATGCTGGGGCCCAACAAATACTCCTGGCTGATGATACCGGGTTAAATTTGGTGACATTTAGGGTTTTTTGACCTAACAGTTCCAGGTGGTGGTTTGTGCCAATGAGATGCTCCAAGCCCATCAGCAGAAACCTGCCTGGGCTCTCATTCCTTCCAGCTGGAGTCTTTTTACTGGGAGGGGTGAAGGATTAACTTAATTAAATCAACTAATACTTTGTTAGGGATACTGCTAAGGTTAATGAGGGCTCAGGTTAACGAGGACCATGTTTCCCTTTCCTGTGTCTTGATGTCTTTTAGATGGCACCACTGCCCAGCCACCCTCGCTGCAGCTCCCCTCACCCCCTTGCACTGTCCCTCACAGATCTCTTGATGCCCCAGTTCAGCTGCTTCTCAAAAATGGCTCATCATGACTTTTCCTGCACCTTCTGCTGAGCGGGGCCTTTCCTGCTGGCCCACTTTGCGTGGCTCTTTATCATCCATATATCCATATATTCTCCAGGGCTGGGCACCTTCCACAGCGGCCACACAAAAGAAACTCCTCTTGGTGTGTAATTAACCTGCTCCACAGTGCTGTGGACATCACAGCCCTAGGCAACCACAAATTCTTACTGTTTTAACCCATTTCCTCTTTACATGGCTCCTTCTCATCCATGTGTTATTCCCTGGGGCGGGCACCTACCGCAGCGGCCACACAAAGGGAAGTAAAACTTCTTTTTGTGTATAATTAACAGTGCTGTGGACATGGCACCTCTCGGTAACCCCAAATCCTTCCTGTTCTAACCCATCTCCTCCTTGTTCCCCTGTTGGCTGTCTTCTTTTCAGAAGGGCCACTGAAGCACCTGACGCCTCAGGTCTTGTGAAAAAGACAAAAATACTAAGATGATGGGAGCCTTGTCAGTAGACCAGACTGCAATGTTTGAGTGTAATTTTTTAGGATTTTTTCTTAGAAAGTGATCTTTTTTCCTCCCCTGTGGCACTGTGCTGTCCGTGCGCTGTGCCAAATCACAGCTCATCACTTGCATACGGCCCGCCCCACGATGCACCCAGAGCACAGAAAGTCTATTTTCCAAACGCTGCCAAAGCCTTCAGGAAACAAGATGCATTTTCCTAATCACCTCTGGCTAAACCTTCTCATTGTTCATTTGCTTTTACACAGGTTTTTTTAGATTGTTTTTAGAGGTGTTTCCCCCC